TATAGTCGAGAATTCATCAAACGAATTAATTTAAATTCGAAGGGGGATGACACTTTCTTTCTGTACCACCTCAAAAAACTTTTAGAAAATTTTTGTAATGAATTTCATTGCAATTTAATTCATCACTGGCATTATTGATCACGATGTTATTTTATTTTTCCCCACAGCAAATTATTTTTTAAATAGAAGTTTTCAATTGTTACTTTCTTATTCAAAAGACAAAACCTTGCTTTAAAAGATGTGTTGAGTTAACATTTGAAGGAGGTAAAAAATGATGTTAGAAGTCCTGTGGAGTTATGCGGGGCTATGGACTTGCAGTTGTGTTGTTTCCGGTTATTTCGGTCCGCCTCCCCTCGCTTGTTTTTGTATGACAAACACTTTACACTCTTAGCATCTTGTATAAAAATATAATACGATACTTGTAGTGTAGTAATAATGTAGTATAACATACAAACCCAACTTTAAAGCAATATCTGCCTTAAAAACATTCTGTAGAACTAATCAATTAAGATAGTTCACGCCTCAGATTGTTATTTATCTGGTCTATGAATTGTTGAACTAAAGTGATTAACTTTTCTATGACTAATCTTACCGGTTTTGAGTTTTTGTATTGATCCGAACGATTATGAGACGTCAAGTTAAGTTAAACTGTAGATTTTTGTTTGGGTGGCCAATGAATACACTGACTAAAACACGAGCTAGACTGATTGGTGTTGTTTTATCCTTTCCGATCTTCTTGATCTGGCTACCATAGCTTATTGTTATTGGATTTGTACGGATATGAAGGACAATAGCTGTAGTGGACTGTTATAAAATTTATCTAATACATAGACTCAAGATAAACACATTGTGCGCACACGGAAGGTCAGCACTGAACGATTGTGAGAGTTGAAATTAGTTTAAACCAAGTGTTTTTGTTTCTCTGGTCCGCGGATTGTTCAACTAGAGTGATTACATTAGTTTGAGCGTTTCCTATTCTTGCTGGTTTAGCGATGTTATAATGATGATGTGAATGATTAAGGGAATTCGACCTTAATTATACCTAGTTTTATTATGGTAGTGGTTCGAGTAGCGGCGTATTTAGCCGAAAGTCGTGGGTTCGAATCCCGCTCGTGACACTGGCTTTTTCATTTCAACCGATTCCTTATATAAATGTGTGATGTTTAGTGACCGTTAGTTAATTTGAAGATCGTGAGGTGCGGTCTGGTGTGACGTAGGTTTTAGAAAAACATTTTCTTTATCTTGCCAACGTTTCGAACTTTATTGAGATCATCTTCATAGCATTGTATAAATTAATTTTTTTTTAATCTAAAATTTTGTAGCATTGTATAAATTCATTTTTTTTAATCTAAAATTTTCTAACATTGTATAAATTCATTCTTTTTTCATCTAAAATTTTCTGGCATTGTATAAATTCATTCTTTTTTTTAATCTAAAATTTTCTAGCATTGTATAAATTAATTTTCTTTTATCTAAAATTTTTTCTATCTAATCTAGATATTTTTTAATCTAAAATTTTCCAGCATTGTATAAATTCCTTTTTTTGTTTAATTTTTTTAACATTGTATAAATTCATTTTTTTAATAAAAAATGTTTTACCATTGCATAAATTCATAATTTTTTTCCACATCTATTTGTCAAATTCAACAAATGTTTATAAATCCTAGGCTCAGAAGATGATCTCAATAAAGATCGAAACGTTGGAAAGATAAAGATAATGTTTTTCTAAAACCTACGTCACACCATCTCACGATCTTCAAATAACATTACATAAAGATTAAATAATTGAAAGTAGTTGTTTGGTCAATCGGGCCACGAAATATAATCTTTTTAAAGATAAGTAGGTATTTTTCAGGATTCCATGGTTTAAATATTTGTAGGTCCTTAAAAAATACCTTTGAAAATATCTTCAATTAACCCCAACAAGCAGTAAGGAAAAAGACGACCATAAATTATACTTATTTGTTTGGTTAGTCCACGAATTCACAGAACAAAACACGGACTGATTGTCGTTGGTTGATAATTTCCGATCTTCCGGCCAACAAGACTGTATTGTCTGTCAGACCCGGTTTTTTCATCTTATGTGGTGGGTTTTTATGACTACGAAGGACAATATTTGTAGTGTCGTATTGAAAAATTTATGTACTATACAGACCCAAAGTAAAAAAAATTGTGCGCACTTAGAAGGTCGATACAACTGAACAATTATGTAAGTTCATGTTAAAAAGTGTATTTTTGTTTCTCTGGTTTAAGAGTTGTCGGACTTGAATGATTGCATTAGTCTGATTATTTCTGATACGCGAAATAACCGGATTATCTTGTTTGAACGTTGCCGACCATATTCATATAACTATGGTCGATGTTTTGGTATTCATTTCGCGTTCTTCATGGATAGGTAGCATGAAAATTGTAATATGAAAAAAAATCAATGAGTGAAATGTTGATAGAAACAAATGATTGTTAAGGTTTAAGACCGTTAAGGAAAATACACCAGTATCTTCCCTGCTGAGAGTCACGCAATCGAGAAATGTATTCAACTCTACTTGACTAAAGGGTATAAAACAAGAACGAGCTATCATGTCAAATATCCAAGCGGGCGTCAAAACACTATGATCAAATATCATTATTTGAAAGGTGTTGAACTGCAAAACAAAATTAAACATATTAGGTACGCAGAACAAAGACACCCCTGTTCCAGGACACACGGGAGTAGAAGGCAACGAGAAAGCGGACACCCTTGCAAGGAAAGGGGCTGCTAGACCGCTGATAGGACCCGAACCCTTGTGTGGCATAGGAACTCACACTATCAATGATTATTCGAGACAGAAAGATAAAAAGAAAATGAAGAAACAATGGAATTCACTTATTGGACTCAGGCAATCCAAGAATCTCCTAACAAATTTAGGAAGAAAAGAAATTACAGGATGTGTCAAAACTGCGAATCCTAATAGGTTTCTTAACAGGATACTGCTAATTGGACACTTAAAGAAGATTGCAGAATATGCACGAGCCGTCTTGTATTATTCCAATGTTCTTGGAAGATTGGTCGAGAGGCAGAGGAGACACCAACACACCTCCTAGCAATCTGCAGTGCAGGAGGAAGTGTTTTGGGATATTTGCGCAGAATATTACATCTACATCTACATCTATAGAAGGTCGGTACAACTGAACAATTTTGTGAGTTCAAGTGAAATATTTTTGTTTCTCTGGTTTACGAGTTGTTTGACTAGACAGATTGCGTTAGTTTGATTATTTCCGATACACGAAATAGCCAGATAATGAACGATGCCGACCATAGTCATATGTTTATTGGCGATGTTTTGGTATGTCAGATACATTTCGCGATCTTCAATGATACGTATATGAAAAAAGTAATGGTGGAATGCTGAGAGAAACAAATGATTGTTAAGGTTTAAGACCGTTAAGGAAAATACACCAGTATCCAAGCTAAGATTCACGCAATCGAGAGACTTTCTCAACTCTATTTGTCTAAAGGGTATCAAAAAAAAGAACGAGCTTTTTCAGAATTTGGTCAGAAAGCCAAGCGGGCATCAAAGCACTATGATCAAATATCATTAGTTAAAAGGTGTTGTTGAACTGCAAAACCAAATTAAACATATTAAGTACGCAGAACAAAGTCATCCTCTGCTGGGTTCCAGGACGCAGGGAGTAGAAGGCAACGAGAAAGCGGACTTGGAAGGAAAGGGCCGCTACACCGCTGATAGGACCCGAACCCTTCTGTGGCATAGGAACTCACACTATCAATGAGTATCTGAGACAGAAGGACAAAAAGAAAATGAAGGAACAATGGAATTCACTTATTGGACTAAGACAATCCAAGAATCTCCTAACAAATTTTGGAAGAAAAGGAATTTCAGAGTGTGTCAAAGGAGGTAGAAATAAACTACGAATCATAATAGGATTCTTAACAGGACACTGCAAGCTAAATGGACATTTAACGAAGATTGGAATAATCCAAGACGGCAACATGCAGATTCTGCAAAGAGGCAGAGAAGACACCAACACACCTACTACAACTAGGTACTAAACTTGCCTGCAGCAGGAAGTGCTTTGGGATGTACAATGTGACCGTAGAAGAGATTCAACCATTGAAACCGGGCCTATTAATTGATGAAATAGGACTCACCGGTGTCCTTTAGGCAGAAATCGGGGGATACAATAGCTTTTAGAGAACGCATTATGTTACACTCCGATTATTACATCTACATCTATAGAAGGTCGGTACAACTGAACAATTTTGTGAGTTCAAGTGAAGTATTTTTGTTTCTCTGGTTTACGAGTTGTTTGTCTTTGGTTGTTGGTGTATGCCGACAATATTCATATGTTTATTGGCGATGTTTTGGTACGTCAGATACATTTCCCGTTCTTCAATGATACGTAGTATGAAAAAAGTAATGGTGGAATGTTGATAGAAACAAATGATAGTTAAGGTTTAATACCGTTAATATTTAACCGCCGATTTGTTAAGCTGATCCAAGAAATTGATGTACTAGATTGCGGTAGGTTGGAGTGTTTCCGGTCGGGCTAGCCAGCTTGTCTTTGAAGTTTTGGCCTTTTAGATGCCTTCAGCATTAATAAAATTTACCATTAAAAATGGCGAAATGCCAAAAAATGGCGAAATGCCAAAACATGGCAGGCCAAAATCAGAAACGAAAAACCTCAAAAATTTTACATTTTTAATGGCTGGTGGCTTTTATATTTAATTCTATCAAGAAACAAATAAGTGGTAGTTAAAGTATAACAAAAAATATCAAAATGTAGGCCGGATTGTTGGAGTTGATTTTCCGTTAGTGATTTGCATTTGGTATGTACAATTCCCGAGGGTGTAGATCGCATTTTTCCCCTTGTTTCAACTTCTGCCCAAATCCAACGTAAAACTGGGTCAAACTGTTTAAAAAAACGTAGGAAAAGCTAGCGATTATCCCCGGCGAGTGGGCCGTATAGATTGCGGAATCGATGGACAGAGGGGAAAGGCGAGCGGTTCGGGCCCGCGGGCACAGATACCGCTCGGGTAGGCGATTCGATTCACAACCGCGAAGAACCGCACTCGTGTCCGGGAAGTGAACGTTCGCGCGTGGCTTCTTCCGCGGCCGGCTCCCACCTTAGCAACAAAACAACAACACCATCGACAACAACTACGAGAACAAACGGATCCGGAGATCCACCAGATTCCACCAGCGACCCAATCCGACCGGTGAGATTTCTTTGAAATGTCCTATGTTCCGGCCGGTCCAACTGTCAAAATTGGCGCATCAGGTTGCCCCCGGCTTGAAATAGCTTCATCCTAGCGCGATTTCCTTGAAATGAACAGTTCAAGAAAAACACATTCTAGAATTCCCTAACGCATAAAAATCCACAGTACCATTTAGAAAAAATCCATTACGTCAATTTGCACCACATGTGCAAAGAAACTAATCTAATTTACATGCTTAAAATGTTACTTTTTTTGTAAGTTATTTCTAATGGACTTATTTGCGAACTCAAAATAAAATCCAATATCATCTGTACATTCAGTGTTTCCAAAAGCTCGTGGTTTTTTCAAATTTTTAAATTTTCCTATCTTATTTTTTAATTATTTAAACAACATATTATTACAAGTTAATAATCTATACAGTATACATTGTTAATTTTTGTTTTGCAATTTATATTATAAAAGAATTTGAAGGATTCTCGAATTTTACCCACGTGACTTGGCACTTACGTCATTATCTTAGATTGCTTAAGATAATCATTCCTTAACTGGACAAAAATACAAAATCCATTTTCAATGTTTTTTTTTTGTTGAAACTACAGCACATTCTTATCACTTATATTAATATTTTTACTTGATGTTTGGACATTTCTTTAAAATAATTCGTTATAAATAATTCCTCCTAAATACCCGAATCAATACTTAATAAATACCTTTTACAAATGACTGTAAATTTTTATAATTTGACCGTAATTATATGTATATACATAAGTGAAAGCTATATCGAAATAAAAAAATGCAGTCAATTGTTTAATCGATATTTGAATAATTTAAAACAATGTGCTTCGTTCCTGACTATAAATATCGTTCGTTTTTCAAACCTGTTGCTTATGCATATTTACCAGCAAAGAAAGCATGAAGCAATCAATCGTAAAATTATTTAAATTAAATAGTACCATAAAAATGTCTCCTTTTATGACAAGACAGCGGGAAAAAGTAAACAATAAGAAGTAGAAAATGACAACAAATTGTGTCTTGTAACGTATTGAGAATTTGACAATCAACAAGAAAATTTAAGCTCCTATTTTTGCCTTTTCTTTTTTTTAATGAATATAATTATTTCAAAATTAGATTGAATCCTGCCTATGATATAAAATTTTCATTTTTTTTAATTCAATTATATATTATTCTTTATTTCAATATACAGGGTTTAATGAATTAAAGTTTAATAAATTCATTCAAAATTTCCTTAAGTTTTTTATTTTTTAATAGTATTAATCTTACCTCCTTACCAATCCTTCAACCACGGTTTTTTCTTTTCCTTCATCAATTTCTTTATCTTTGAAAAACGTACTTAAAAAGAAATTGCACCACTAAAAAGTCTATCAAATGTAGTACGTTTTCTGAAATTTCCTGGTCTCTAGGTTTGGGAATAGTGGTTTATAATCACAAAAAAAATATTTTTCAGTGTTCTCCCTAATAAAAGTCTTATTTCACAACGTTTACAATTTTAGTATTGACTACATATCATTGGAAATTTAACGTAGATTTCAATGGTATCAACGGATTTGCCCAAAACCTTTTAGTTTTGGAGTTATCATTGTTTATTTGAAGCAAGGTCGTGAAATCTTAAAAAATAAGAAAAAGTGAAATTACTCCGAAACTGTTGAGATACGGACCATTGTTACTTAGGACTTTTTGGTTCCTTTTTGAATGTAGAATCTACTAGCACAGTTTGTAACACGAGCAACCGAACACCTGTACATTGTATAAAGAAAATCTAATAAGTATAAACTTTGTTGAAATATGTAACAAAATTTTGTTGACAAATCTGTCAAATATTTGTTTATTACGTAAAACAGAAAACAATTACATGTTTATTAATCGTGTTTATTAAAAACCTATCAAAACTTATCATATATAATAATTTTCTACGTGCAATTATACATTCCAAGACAATGGACTAAGTACCCAGCCATAATTAAATATAATTTCAGTTCAATTTGTAAATTTAAAAGGTATTTAGTTTTTCTAGTTTTCTCGGTAGATTCCATTTGAAAATTGTGAGATGTGAGAAATAAATTCTATAATATTTTTACAAGCTATCATAAAATAAACGGCGATTTCCATCCGTCATATTACACCGTCATTTGCTATGCCAGTTGTAAACTAAAATGCGAATAAAATATTATTGACGAGTCTGGCGGTTGTTTTCTTAATAACTGTAAAGAACAAATAGTAAAATACTATTTTTTTAACTTTCAACTTAAATTTGTACAACAAAATATTTGTATTTTATAGGCTCACTTGTTTGCTCTGTCGGAATATTTCTTTTTTTAATTAATTATCTTCTGTGTTATTTTGTTTTATGCGTTCCTCATTTTCCGTGCTAAAACTCTTATTAAAATTTATGTCTAGAGTTGTTGTATGAAATAAACAAATTCTGAATTCCGTGTCAACAAATACATCAAAATTATTTTCCAGCTTGTAATGTCCAAGATATGAATTTCTTTTCATAATTAACAACATAATAAATAAACGAATTGAAAAATTTTAAACTTCTAGGATAATGCAGTTAATATCTTTTGAAAGAAAAAAAAATGAGATGGCAAAATCATAAATCTTCAATTTATTGGAAATGATTTGTACGTATTGTTACCATCAATCATATAACTTTCATTTCCAAAAAATAATTATTTTTTCTGTTTTAACATTCAATTGAGTAACTGTTATTTTTCGATATTGTTGCAATTGAACGCATTTCATAACCTAGACTATCCCTTTTACAAACATTTATAGGTCTTTTCGATTTCTTTTTTATGGAAACATATACAAAAAGTTTTTTTATACATAAATTCTACTTCGCAGCAATATTGTTTCTTCTTCAGCGTACAACAATCTACATAAAAGATCATTTATTGATCACTATTATTTATTTCATTAATGTTATTACAAATATCATAAGTTAAAATTGATACCGTTGTTAGCTAAAAGAAACCGGTGCTAAAAATGAACAACTCCTTTGATAACAACATTTAAAACCAAAGTTAATGTTTGTAAGTTGAACGTTGATTTCAACAAAAAGATGTCTTCTATATATAATAAATAAATAAGGACCGACAATTAGGATCATCGAAAAACAATTAATTTAAGTATTGTTTTGCTTTGTTCATATAACTTTAAATTTGGGACATTTTAGTTCGACTGTTGTGTGCTGTATTTTATTAAAATATTGCTTCTTAACATCTTCACAAACATGTTTCTTAATCAGATTAAAACCATGCCACCAAACAACATTACGGCAGATGGTGTGATTCAATACATTTCAATTATTTTTTTTATACATTCATCAATTTGTTTAAACCAGTATAATTATTTTTTTAAGTATATAAACGGAGAAAATTTTTGGTAATCTAGGAATGAAATTTTTTTATTATAGAATCAAAACGTAATTTTGCGGTGTAAAAGTGAAACATTTGAAATATATGACTATTTGGTTGTTTACCATCATTTTGGTCCGGATATTCTCGCTGTTTATTTTCGAAATAAAATCAAGATAAAAAATCAATGTGAAAATAAAACTTTTACGAGTATTTTTTTACTTATTACAATAATTATTTGCTATAGTGAAGAGCGTTTTGTAAGAACGAAATGAATATCAAATAATCGTAATTACATTACAATAAATAGTAATGTTATTTTTCTAAAAAATTAAGAGGCTTAGATTACATAGGGCGTGACCTTAGTCGATGAAAACGATTTAAAAATAGCAAATCAGTAGTTCTATATACACCCAATCGTTTAATAATAGTTCTAAATTTATGGTTTTACAATATAATAACTTCCTTTTTCTCGTTTAAATTGGCATGTTTGAGAATAATAAAAAATAAAAAAACATGGGACAAGTAATGTCAACTTATCACACCCTGTGTGAGTCTTAGGGAAAAGTAGTAGCATAATTACCTCAGATTGATTTATGAAAGTAGTAAAATCAATACATTCTTTAAACTTATGAAATCATATATTTGCCATTATTGTAAGTTAGTTACTAACTGCCCTAAATACCATTTCATTTGGTTGAAAAGAATCAAAAATTTGCATTTACAGAAAAAATTAAATACGTTTGTTTAAAAAAGATTCATGTTTAATAAGTTCTTGTACTGTCTAACGCTAGATAATATTGGATAATCATATCATATGCTGTTTTCATAAATATTCGTTTTTGTCAACTTCAAGATTTTCTAATCCAATTTAAAGTTTATAGTTTTATAATTTGACTTTTTCATTTCAAATTCAATTCAATTTTCAATTGTAATAAAAATAATACTAAAACTATAGTAAATGATATGTATTATATTTTTAAATTTTACTTTTTTCATGTATATGAAAGCTTCTACACATCAAAATTTATATTACAACAATATGTGTATTTTCTGGTTTTTTCCTCCCTGTCAAAATACTGACACTAGGGCAATACTTATTCCGAAAGCCATGTGTTACAGAGAAACCCTCTTACTCTAGCGCTCAATTTAAGGGATGAAGTACTATGAAGTATCAAGACCATCGTCGTTTTCAGAATGGGAAAGTTCAAGTTCTTGGTGCGACGCTTTTAAAAGCGGGATTGGAGGCACATCGTTGACGAAAGGAATGTTGTATTGTGGAAAGTGTAGTTAGCGACGTAGTAAAGAGTTTGGACAATTTGTCTAAGGACTGATTGGTAGGATTGGATATTGAATGGTTTGGCTGAACCACACATTTTCATTCCGTATGTCCAAATTGGTGGTAATGTCTTTTAAAGTTTAGTTGAGTTTAGATCGTGTAAACAGATTTCGGTCCTAAATGTCCTCGTATTGTTCAATTTGTTGTATTATTAACTCGTTATAATCTAGTGTCGAGGTTCTACGTTAGTATGCAATCTAGATATAGCAATAATTGTCTGACTTGGGAGTAGCTCCTTCTAGTTCTCTTCTTCTCCTGCGAAGGGCAGGATTGTTTATTCAATG